TCCTGAATAAAACTGGAGACCCCCCCCTTAAACTACACTTGATTCTCATAAGCTTAAGCGGCAGGTCCTGTGCGACAGGGGTAGGCGGACCGGCCGGCTTTTTCAGTCACCGTATAGCAGTTGTAGCGCTTGTGGCAGTAAAAAAAGATTGCCCATCCCGGGGCAAAGGGACTCACAATCATGCACCGTTTGGCCGACTGCCGGACGTCATCGAGCATGTTTATGGCAACCTCCTGGGAGAGCAGGATCCTGTCAGACACCAGTTCGCGGTCATTGCCGAGATGTAGGCGGGCCTGAAGGTCGCGACGCAGTTCGTTGAGTCTGAAAAAAGGGGGAACAGTCAGGGCAGTCATTTAGAAGGTGGATTGGAAAAGAAGGCGGCCAGTAGATGGTCAGGTGAGGGAAGCTTTTTGTAAGTTTAAGGAGCAGCCAACTTTCGCAGAATCGCGTACGATTAAACCCCTCGTTGTCCAGACAACTGATAGGAATTGTGAGTAATTAAGTAACATTATGGCCACCGGCGCACGTCTAAAGTGTCCCTCAGCACAGGATTCATGACCTTTACTCAGGTTTTTTTCCTCAGGAGCTTGTCATTCTAGCTACCGCGGTCCAACGAAGGAGGATTTCCTAGCTCTATGCACAGTCCAGACGACCTAACTACGTCGCCTCGAGCATGCTTGAAACGGCCGAGGCACCTGTTTTCTGACTGTATGGGTTTCATGCTTCCTTTGTCTACAAAATAATTGCTACTAATATCTTTTTCTAGGAGTAAAATAAGCAAACAGTAAAAGGTTTGTCAGTTTCAAGGGGAAGCCCACGCGTGAAACCTGACAACTAAGAGAGAAGTCAACTGCTTATAAAAGGACAGGAGCCACTCTAAATACTATCGAACCAAAAGGACAGGTCGAAATCCCGAGAAGATGGAACCAATCGCATGTAACCCGATTTCCCCTGACAATTCTACTTGAATTTATTGGCCACAGTTACGGCCATTTTACACGTGGAGAAGAAGTAGTTTCGATCACCGGAATCGTAGTTTTATTTGTCTTAGCTTTCGAACTCTTGCGGGAGTCCATCGTCAGAGAGTTAGAAAGCTGAGAAAAATGAAACTACTTCATCTAAATTTATGCACATACCTGGGATGCGAACTCTTGCATTAATCCGTAATTTTACACGTTTTCAGAATCTGTTGTTTTTTAAAAGAAAATTGCGATTTCTCAACAAAGCAACACAGTGGAACCTCGGCTAACGAGTTTATTCAGCTTCGACACCGAACTCATCACGTGAAAC